CCTTTATAAGATTATTTCTTTGTTGCTTTGTATGTCCCTTCCCCAAGGTATAACCCCTGCTTTCACTGTATTTGAAGTTGGTATAATTTGTGGAGGGGAAGGGAAAAAACAAATCGTTTAAATAGGGATACAGATGGACCCATTGCAACAATGAGATGTACAAGTTGTTATGTCGGAAACGAACTTTACAACTTTGGTGGGGGAGGGGGAAGAAGATTGGGTGGGGAGGGGGAGGGGAGGATGGGAAGGGATGGGAAGGGGAAACAAAGGAGAAGGCTACAATGCTTGGTAAGAAATGTACTTATTATCTTGCCCATGTAATTGTAACCCCTCTGTACAGTATTTTCTTTCTTTTTTTTTTTCTTTTTTGGTCCCGTCATGGGGCCTCAATTCTGGGCCTGGGCGCTGTCCTTCAGCTCTTCAGCTCAAGGCAAGCGCTCTACCACTTGAGCTACAGCGCCACTTCTGGTTTTTTTTTTCTTTTTTGCTGATCTGGTGCCAGAGGAATTGAACCCAGGGCCTCATGCATGCAAGGCAAGCGCTCTACCACTGAGCCACCTTCCCAGCCCTGTACAGTATTTTCACAATTAAAAAAAGAACACACACACTGTGTCTCTCTGTCTTTTGTCTCTCTGTCTCTCTGAATCTCTCTCTCTCTCACACACACACACACACACACATACACACACACACACACAAACTGAATTATATGTGGCTTACATTACCAAGAGTTTCTCCTTTGACCTGCCCTATATACTGCATGAAATTGGATCCACAGATCTATAGAAAACACCAATAGATGATCTGCAAGCATATCACACTATAAGTAGTCAGTTGTTACTTGAGGAACCAAGAGTTTTGGAGGATGTTTAAGACATAATAATCAGTAGGAAAAGTGTGTGAGAGGTGAGTCAGGATGTGACCCAGAGCATAGACTTCAGGTTACTACTTAACTTCATGTGACAGTAGTGATACAGTGATATTTGGGGTAAAAGTATCAGTTGTTAAGAACCCCAAGTATTACTGATTGTATTAGTGGTTACCCCATTGTTCAGACATAACTGAATTATATAATGACTATTGTTTGTTCTATCCTAATTTAGCTGTGTCAACAGAGTCAACTGAAATCCAAGGAAAAGACAAATCATCTCTTAAAGATGGCAAGAAAACAGGTGTCAAGGATATTGTGCAAGAGAATTTGGGAGCAGAATGCAAGGATGAAGATAGTGTTCTTGGTGATGCTTTATTCTAAATTAATAACAAAATCTAATTTCTTCCTTTTCATCCTCTCACACCTTTAATCTTGGTTCTCAACACTAATACCTTATCTTTTAGAATGTATACAATGCCTGATTCTAAGAGTAACTGGTTTCCATCCGTTTATCCTAACAGAAACTGGTTTCTTGTCCCTATACAAGCTTGAGATCACGCAGCAAAACTTTCCTTTCTAGCTTCTGGCTCATAGCTTACCTCTATTCCCTGTCATCCTGTCTTCTCACTTCTGGTGCCACTTTGTATCATCAGTCTGAGTAAATGACACAGCAGAAGAGAGACAAGGGGTTCAGACTCATTACAGGAGACTTCATGAGAAAGGAGAAACAATTTTAGTAGTTGTTATAAGGGAAAGGGTGAAGGCAATGAGGATTTTATTTAAAGTACCAATGAGCTGTTTGCCTGTGGTTCACAACTGTATTACTGGCTACTCAGGAGGTAGTGATCTAAATATTATGGCTCAAAGCCAGCCCAGGCAGAAAAGTTCATGAGATTCTTATCTCCAATTAACTACCAAAAAAAAAAAAGCTGTGACTCAAGTGATAGACACTTGCCTTGAGCACAAAATCACAGGGACAGTGCCCAGGCCCTGAGTTCAAGCCTTAGGACCAGCACACATACCAAAAGCAAAAGCCAGGCACCAGTGGCTCAAACCTGCAACCCTAGCTACTCAGGAGTCTGAGATCTGAGGATTGTGGTTTGAAGCCAACCTGGGCAAGAAAGCCTCTGAGACTCTTATCTCCAATTAACTACAAAAAAAAATTGAAAGTGGAGCTCTAGCTCAAGTGGTAGAACTCTAGCTTTGGGCAAAAAAACCTCAGGGAAAGCATCCAGGCCTGAGCTCAACTCCCAGGACTGGCGCGCGTGCGCACGCGCACACACACACACACACACACACACACACAAACTAGAAAGATATTGCTGTGGTTCTTTAAAGTGTAGTTATTAATTTACGCTCCTACTAACAATGCATGAGAATGCTCCCCCCCACATCCATGCCAACACTGGCTATCATTAATATAATCATCTAAAAATAACAGTAAAAATGATATCAAGTAATGATATTTATACTTATTTAAGGTTGATCATCAACAAAATAAATGTTTATCAAGCTAGGAAGATGGTTCAGTGGTAGAGTGCTTGCCTTGCATGCATGAGGCCCTGGGTTCAATTCCTCAGTACCATATAAGCAGAAAAAGCCGGAAGTGGCGCTGTGGCTCAAGTGGTAGAGCGCTAGCCTTGAGCTAAAGAGCTGATGGACAGTGTCCAAGCCTAGAGTTAAGGCCCCACAACTGACAACAACAACAAAAAAGAATAAATGCTTATCAGTGGATATGGAATATTACAAGACAGCTAACAATTGGATGATTAATATCTATTTATGTATTGACTTGGAAAGAGATATAAGATTTATTAGCCTGTGAAAAAAGACAAATTAATTAACAAATAACTCAGCAAAATTCCTTTTTCATAAAAAGAGTTCTGTGTTTTTCAGGTTTGGAAGCAGAGGGGATTTGGAAAGGAGGTACTAGGGATTGAACTCAGGGCCTCACCGTTTTTTTTTCTCTTTTTGCCAGGCCTGGGACTTGAACTCAGGGCCTGGGCACTATCCTTGAGCTTCTTTTGCTCAAGGCGAGCATTCTACTACTTGAGCCACAGTGGCACTTCTGGCTTTTTCTGTTTATGTGGTACTGAGGAATCAAACCCAAGGCTTCATGAATGCTAAGCAAGCACTCTACCACTAAGCTACATTCCCAGCTCCCTAGGGCCTCACATTTTCTAGGCAAGAGCTCTTCCACTTGGGCCACACCTAGGTGTTTGAGGATAAGAATTTGTTGTCATCTTAATTTACTCATATATATGTATATATGCATGTGTGTATATATACATATATATGATTGTTTAATTAAAAATAAAATAAAAATAAAAGGGTGGTTTGAAGTTTCATTCCACCTAATCTGTCCACCTTGGGATAAAACCCATTTAGCCAAGGGAGTTTATATGCATAATTCACTGCTATATTATATTTGCTGGCATAGCTTGGGGTGCAGCTTAGGCAAATGACTTTTACTTTTTTTAACTCTATTTGGAAATGAAGAAAATTTTTTCAGAGTTTGTGTGAGCTATTGTAGGGATTGAGAGCCTAAGAGACAGAGATAATAATATAGATTTGCTTACCTGTGAAGATATCCTTGTTAACTTAATGGTCTTAGATATTATGGAAGCCTTGACCATAAAGTGATATACTAAAAGAATTCTTGTTTTGGCTAGTTGATTTTGAACCCAGTGCTATTGCTCAAAACATTGTGGGAATTCATCTCTAAAAACTTACTTTAGTCATGTTGCTATGTTCTGCACTATCTAGGTATAACATACTCATTGAAGGCAGGTCTGAGTTTTGAAACATGTAAGAAATCAATGAGCCAATGGGACTTAAACTTTGTGATATAATTACTGTTAGAAATTAGACATGTTATTATAAATCTATAAGGTCTGTTTTGTGGGCTGGGGAGGTGGCTCAGTGGTAGAGTGCTTGCTTTGCATGCATAAGGCCCTGGGTTCAATTCCTCAGCACCACATAAGCAGGAAAAAAAGCCGGAAGTGGCACTGTGGTTCAAGTGGTAGAGCGCTAGCCTTGAGCTGAAGAGCTGAGGAACAGCACCCAGACCCAGAGTTCAGGCCCACAACTGACAAAAAAAAAAAAAGAGGTCTGTTTTGTGTGAATCATAAATAAAATGTGAAGGTCATTTCCATGGGAAGTTTCAGAAAGATTTTTCAAAATTATGCACATCTGGGGCTGGGAAGTTGGCTCAGTGGTAGAG